ACACACACACAGAGAGAGAGAGAGAGAGAGAGAGAGAGAGAGAGAGAGAGAGAGAGAGGAAAATAAAAACTATGTATCTTGGAGCTTGAGTCATCAGACGATCATGCAGTTCCCCTGCGACACAGAATGAATTGCGAACTTGTCTACGAGTCTTGTGTGCGCTTTCTCTTGTTCCCTATAATGTGCTAAGCAGGTGAGTTTGGGATCTTCTTTTTCTCTACCTAAGACACTAGCCCAGACATGCAAATGTGCAGAGTGAATTCCCCTGCCACCGCCTGCATTTATTCCTTATAACTGAACGTCCGGACAAAAACACATCGGAACGTCACTACAGAGCACTTATACTTGCTGGGGGGTACAAAAGAGTCGGAAGAAACATCCTCCAACTTCCCTTTGGGGAGCAAGGATAGAGCTCATGTGCATGCAAGTGCCCGGCAGCTCTCCTGCCAGGTGCAGAGTCTAGCAGGACATGACACTTCCCGCACGATGTTGAGACAGGACAAATGCATGCTTTGCCTTGCCTTTAGCAGCTGATATACAGAGAAAACGAGCGAGCGGAGGGACATGCAAAGGCGCTGAGCGCAGAGCATGCTATCCGCTGACATTGAAAAAAGAGAGTAACAATCACAGACAGAATATCGCAGACAAGGCATAGTGCCCAAGACAAACAAGGACTGACCTTAGACAGCGATGCACATATCTTCTGAGGCAGTGTTCACCCTCCTCTAACACAGCCAAAATGCAACCGATCCTGATCCCCTCAAGGACGAGGAACATTATGGGACACGGAAGGTCACAAGTGACACATAGGAGCTAGATACCGCAAAGGATATGAAAGGTCCTAATCCCGGCCCCGTGTTGGTTGTCAAGTCCACATGTCAGGCATCGTCCCGGGATATATAGTCTAGTACTCGACAAAGGATGACGCAATCACGCTGGTTCTTTTTCATCAGAGAATGATCAATCAAGCTTCCAGTCGTGCAGTGTAAGTATGTTGAAACGTTGGGAGATCCAGTCTCCCATGTAACAAAGACAGACCGAAATATAGACAGACTGAAAGATAAGACACGGAATGCGCACGTCTCAAGTCAGGGAATAACCAATAGAACTTCTAGTCATCCAGAGTACGTCCGTCAAAAGTAATGGCAAAGGACAGACAGTCCGCAATGTAATACAGATAGCGTAACATAATAAACAGGCAGTACTTCATCCTGTGGGCTTTCACATAGCAGAGGATCGCATGACACTTAGCAGAAATCGCCCTTTAGGATGTTTACCACGGGATTTCCATTCATTTCTTTGGCCAAGTGTAAGGAGGTGATGAGCAGGTGAGGATAGAAGAAGAGATTGTCCAAATGGCAAAGGACCATTCATTCTGGTAGTTCGTGGAACTCGCTGCTTATTTTTTTGCTCCTTTCCACTAGTGCTTGCCACTCGATACTGGAGAACACCTAGCACGTTCGTGGGGACAATTGCAAACAGATACAATGAAGAGTCGGTCTATCTGTGTCTCCCTCTTGCCTGCCAGTCTTCGATCTTTCTTTAGGCCAATGACTCTGGTATCGACATTGTACCGTAGCCAGTTATGTGCCAAATAGACACAGAGACAGAAAGTGAGGAATCAGGCGCTACATGAATGCATCCGTCATACTAACACAACCTCCTTACGCATCGATCATCAAAAATTATGTGGAGTAAGCAGAGGCTTATGAGACACACAGCTGTACTTATCATTCACACGTATACGAGAAAGAGGAACGAGGCTGCAGCATTCATGCAAACGTCCTGTACGCCATCAGCAGCAGGACAGGACTCAGATCTCAGATGGTGCACACTGCGCAGACTGTGATACATACCTTTTTGGTGAGGTGAGCCTTCTTTCCCCTGTGCTTCTGTGGAACGAACTAGTCATACTGTGTCTCAACTGCCGATCGCCTCAGTTTGGAAAGGAACTGGCAGATTGAGCCCCTCCTCGTCTTCAGTGTTTCCTATTTAGAAGCCTGCTAAGCCTTGTTGTAGACTCGCCCGAAGTGCCAGGACATGCAAAAGACGAACGTGTTTCTCGTGGGCGACGCGATATGCTTGGACATGACATCATAGCTGTTGCCTGGCATTCCCAAGTTACGAAAAATGAAAAGCACACCACACAATTTTTGTTTTCATGAAACAACAGATCGCATCTCACTTCCCAGGCACTTCGCCTTCATGCAGCTCATCCCCCTCACAGCCGCATTGGATTGATACGCTAGTTTCCATGCTTATGATTACTCGGCGTAACACTCGCGGTGAACCATGTGATCGTAAGGAGGAGCCTAAGGGAGCCGCAAGAAGCAACTGCCTCACACCGGCTGGCATCGCTGTCTACTTCGGCATCCCAATGCACCGATTTGGCAGTCTGACAATCATTACCATAATCAACATGGCAAGGCAACTTCCACTTTTTTTTTTTTTTTTTTTTTTTTTTTTTTGCATCTACGCCAATCTGCAGCCTAGTCGCAAAAGCAAACCCTCTCTCCCCTTTGCCTTTTTACCCACCTCCCATGCTCTCCCCAATCAAGCAAGAAGATGAGACACAGTAACTGATCACAGTAACTGATGACAGCACTCAATGGCGGTGAAAACTGTGAAAACCCACTTCGGCAGTCCTGTAGGGGAGATTTTCGCTTCTGCACGCCACTCTAGAGCAAAACGCTCGTGTCTTAATCTCTTCATCTCTCTTCTTTCCAACCAAGCTCCCAAACTACATAATTTTTTTGGATTTGCAACCCGTCGAGTTTCCGAGCATTGATGAGACCGTCATGCTTACGTTTTTGGGTTCTATTCGCTAGAAGCACTACATTTCCTCATAACAGTCACTCATAAGAAGCAGAAGAGACTTTCGCTTCTGCAGGCCCCTCCTCGAGAGCAAAACGCTCGTGTCTTAATCTCTTCATCTCTCTTATTTCCAAGTATATGTTTTTGGATTTGCAAGCCCGTCGAGTTTTCCAAGCATCGATGAGACCGTCACGCTTACGTTTGTTGGGTTCTATTCCGTCGAAGCACTACATTTCCTCATAAGTACTTAGTCGCCAAGACACCCGTTCCTCTTAAGAACAGTTAAGCTGTAACTAACAAACAATGAGGAGCAACAAACAACGAGGGGACGGATTCAACATATACACCACCGTACAGAGTCACCATACAAATCAGCAGAGAAGTTTTGACAAATCAGTGCCGCGCATCCAACTCCTTTTCCTGTGCTCTTGAGAAATACACTGCATAATCTGCATTATAAAATTTGACACAGCGGACGAAAACAAATTTCCCTACACCGCCTTTCTAGTAGGATTGTAATCCAATTTGACAAATTTGCAACTTCCGTTCACCCGCGGCTTAGCCTCTACTGCCTGCCTGCCTTGCCTTCAATCTCTCTGGACTTACCACTTTGTCAACAAAAAAAAATAAAAATAAAAATAAAATTAAAAAAAATAAAAATAAAAAATCCGCTAAGAAGCATATAACTCCTAAAGCATCCTGGCTGCATCCCTCATTTATGTACAACAAGGTCAGCGTCGCTCAGGGAGACCCTTCGCTTCTCCTCTTCCTGCATTTATTCTGAGCTGTGCATTATCACCGTCACACATCGCTCCTTTGCCCCTGCGGTCTTTCCCGTGGCGTGCATCTGGATACCAGAGCCAAAGAACAGTAACGCCCACACATGGGCGGATAGCACGGCAGCCAGCGGTCGGCACTCTTCAGTGGGGGCGGCACGCGTGCCGCAGACGTCCACACTCTCTTCAGCGGGGGGTGCATGCATACGGGCAGGGTGCAGGGTGGTGACTTGTCGTCTCACTTTGGTGGCCAACCAATAACAGCCAATTTTTTGGCAGATCCTGCGGGAGGTGCAAGACATGGCAGCGGACTAAGGAAGGAAAACCCCAAGCACACTGGGGCACACTATGTTACACATGGATTTGGTGAGAGGAGTGGCCCCAGATGCCCCACATCGTCGTCATGAGCCAAGCGATGGCATGGAGTCGAAATTCGGGAGATGCAAAGAGACGAGGGAAGGAGGAGGAGGAGATGGGCAAGGCTGCGGGAGGGGGGAACAGCACTGCGGGGTTGGGGTTGGGAGAGGGTAGAATGGGACTGGAAGGGACTGGAAAGGACTGAACTGGACTGAAGAAGGGGATTGGCTGAAAGTAATGGAGCAAGATAATGCCTCCAGAGTGAAATTGTGGAGGGACATTTGGATGGGCCACTTGACTGAGCAGGGAGAGACGGAGCAAAGGATCGGATTCAACCATCGGTGAAAACGTGGCGTTGGTCAAATCATCATTTTGCAAACACCGGTGAACACAACACTACATTAAATAAGAGAGATCAACCCATTTGCTTGATCGGCGTTGCTATTTACCGGTCAAGCATGGCATCTGGCTGTGACTCCTCCCACTCTCGGATGAGAGATCGCAAAGCCAGATTCGGAATAAGGGACTTGTTCTCAAGGGCAAGGTTAGTCATCGGTGACGTCTGATGTGTTTCAAGCCATGCAGTGATCGCTGTGCGCTCGTACGTATGCCCATCAGCCGCAAGCACCGGTTCATCCATCACGTCTGCCGTGATAGGACAGACATACTGTTGAGGCAGACTTCTCAGGGGTCTGGATGACGAATTTGTAGATAACTCTATCTCTTGCAGTTTTGCGGCTCTGGCGACGCCTTCCAAGATGGGAAGAATCCTCCTCTCCTCACAGCCATGCATCGAGGTGCACTTGACGGCCAAGTCCACAACCTTTTTTGCCTGGTGAAGATTCCACTGTCCAGCTGAGGGATCCAAGACTCTCCAGAACGGCATAAACCCCCTCATCGCCTTCTCCATTAAGGACAACGCTTCCTGCCCAGACTTGCCTGTGAGCAATTCTGCAAGAATCAGTCCTAAGTTGTGCACGTCCGCCTTTGTCCCTAGCACTCTCGGCTGGCCACCATCGGTTCCTGCCTGCAGCCACTGAGGGGGTGAGAGGAATATCGATCCGGGTCCTTGCTCTCCGTCAGGCAGCTCAGGGACCAGCCTTCCCAAACGCACATCGCTGATTTTGCTGTTATCATTCACATCAAGCATAATGTTGTCCGACTTCAGATCCAGGTGAATGGTGTCGCCAAAGTGCCTCGCATGCAGGAAGAGCATGGCCTGTGCCACCTCTGCCGCAATCCGCATGCGAGCACACCAACCCAAAGGCTTCCAACCACACTGCAGCCGTTTCCTCAAGCTTCCGCCCGCCATGTACTCGTACACCAGGCAGTAATGATCTGCGCACACACCCAAAAGCTGCACCACATGGGGATGTCTAATCGTGCTAAGGACCACCGCCTCATTCTTGAACTCTTTGGCACCCTGGAGGCTGCTCATGCTCAGCCTCTTCACTGCAACAGGTTGACTATTTAGCTCTCCCTTGTAGACGGTTCCAAAGCGGCCATTACCCAGAATTAGCGTTGCGCGGAATTCGTTAGTTGCCTTGAGTATTTCTGTGTAGGTGTATTCTCTAAAGCTCTCTTGCATGCCCCGAACTCCGGTCAACGCACGCAAAGCCTCGTTCTTTTCCTTAATTTCTAAATCAAGCTGACTCCTCAAAATCGCAATGTCGATCTCCCTGTCCTCCACCTGTTTCTTTGCTGCCTCAAGATCAGTGCCACATTTTTCCAGATCCTTCTCCACCTTTTGTAGTCGCGCCCAATCCAGTTCATGGTGGTGGCCGTCCCCCAACCGATCATCTGAGCATCCACTGGAATTTGGCTTCCCGCCTCTCTCCACTTTCCTCGCAGCTTGCTCATAAAACCACGACATGCTCCTTTTGTCAAAAACCACGCGACAGTTGTGTATAATCCACTTCCTAAGCGAGGGGACATCTGGGAAGGGGAACTTGTCCCTTTCGTTCGGCGGAACTGCCCTCTGTATCCAAATGACATCTCCATCTTTGAAGTCGGCTTGCTCAAACGTCATTTCCATGTCCACCGGGTCGCACCACAAGAAAAGGTCCTTGTAGAGGGAGACATTCGTGCCCATGGGAAACCCCCTCTCTCTCAAAGCCTTCTGAATACTAGCTGGCTGGCTTCCACGCTTCACAAACACATACCCAACGTACCGGGCTTCGTTTGTTTCCGGCGAATACGCTTTGAAGAAAAGGAGGAGGTCATCGTCTCTGCGGGCGTGCAAGCGAACGGACGAAGAGTCCTGTCCGGGATTGCCCGCCCCTACCAACTGTTCTGGTCCCTCCAAGAAGAGCTCAAAATCTACATCCGGTTGCCGGTACACCGCGTCTTTCAAGTACCCCATACTGAGCACTTGCTCGTGGCTGTCCAGTGGCCGAAACCGGAAAACATTTCCGGCCTTCTTCACCCACAGCCAGAAACGTTGGCAGCTTGACGGAATGTTGAATGCCATCACACATTCCTCTTTCAGCTTCTGAAACGAAATCTGCTTCGACAAACGGAAGCTTCTCACCGCATCTTGCGGAAAGACGTCCATAAACAAACTCTGATTGCCACCTCTAGGCCGCGAGAAATCGACGCCTCCCCACACAACTTTCACTGTCATCTCACTGGCCGCCTCCTTTACAGCTTTCTTCTCCTCCCCGTTGCTCAGCACGTTGAGCTCTGCCTCAACGATGAGTGTGCCATTAACCAAAAGACCCTTATGCAGATCATTGAGCGAAGTGATCGTGAGAAATTTGTGAAGACCCCAGCTGGGATTCTCACGGTCAAAGCAACTCTTCCAGTCCCGAGCGGCACAATGCTTCGGATCCGTTTGGCTTACTACCCGCAGCTTGTACTGCGCAATCACGCCCCTACCCGGTGCCAAGAGGTAGGAGTCCAGCATCTCCAGATAAAGGGATAAGTGGCCAGATGCGCCGGGATCAACCTCCTCGTTGCCTTTGGGGTACAACTGAATGCGCCATTTGCGGTCGCCAATGTGGAAGGAGTGGGAGAAAAGCTTCTGCACGTTCAGTTGGTGGAACCTGTCAATGGTCCAACGGAAAGTTCCAATGGTCTCATCAAAAGAGTTGCGCTCCCTGTTTGATGCGAGGTCGTGTGGCGGCGTTGTTATTTCAGTCTCGATAGTCAAGGTCCCATCATTCAGAAACCCGGCTGCAGGGTCACACAGGTCCTTTACCGACATGAACTTGTGCTGTCCCCAGCTTGCATTCTTCACATCGAATTTGCTCTTCCAATCCTTCTGCACCGTTTTCCTCGACAGCCTGTGATTCACAGCCGAAAGCTTGTACTGGACCAGCTTCCCATGGCCTCGCTGCAAGGTCGAAGCGTCTACCATCTCCAAGTACACAGACAAATGCCCAGCACAAAGCTGGTCCACGTGCACATTACCGTTGGGATAAAGCTGCAACCTCCACCTGAAATTACCGACAATGAAAATGTCCGAAAGAAGCTCGTTGGCGATTATATCCTTGAAATTCGGTATGTTCCATCGGAAGGTGCCAACCTCCTGCAAGTCCATTCGCTGAGATTCCCGGACCTCTTTGCGACCACCATCCGTCATCGACGGTAGGCACAGAGCCATCTTGGAAGTGAAATTTCACAGTTCCAATCGGTGAACCTTCACAGTGTACACTATCTCCAAAAACTGAACACAGTCTCTACGGTCAATCTCAACCTGCCTAGGGAGTAGGTCCGCTTGTGCATGGCGCAGCCACCTGCCAATCTGCTTCTCTCTCAGGCTTGGAGCAGGCCAAGCATCCTTCCAAAGACTGGGACTACCAATGTGAAAATGCCCACACCTGCCAGAATATGGCTCCCCAACATCTGGTTCTACACTCTTCCTATTTTCTTATAAAGGGAGTAACCTTCTTATCAAAAGAGTGTAGCAGGCACAAGCCTTCCTTTGACTTTGGTGGCCATCCACTACCAGATCTAGGGAACATTGGCCCCTCATGCTGATCCAGATGTACCAAAATGGCTTGTGAAGGGGACAAGCCCCACATCCCATCTTACAGGGAACTCCATGAATACCCACATGCCTGCTCTAGCCGAGGAAAGCTTCACTGCCTCCTCTGACGATGAGATCCAACCCTCTTGCTAAGCCCCATCAGTCAACCCTTAAAAGTGTCCGTACCCCTTAAACCCCATCAATCAACTGTTCCCTGCCATAGAAAGAGAGAGGAATACCATCGGTACAGTGGGAGTTCCGTTTCAACCACCAAAACCGCAAGAACCCTGAGCACGCCCCATGCTCAATCGATCTCCGAATTCGGCAAGGCCAACTTCTATGTTGGGGAGGCCATACATACCGTCACCCCAACCAAACCCCACCGGCCACCAATCCAAACCCCTTCCCTTAGAAAATGCACCCTTCGCGATTTGATGCCGTTGTAACCTTCTCGCTTCAGCGTGTGCTCCCGAGGAGACTGCAAGAGAATTTGGCATTATCCAACAACAACGAAGAGCGTGGACACGACATCCCAACCCACAACCCATCTCTCAGCTCAACGCCAGCTGGAAGTGCTTCCACCCTTCTGACCGGTAGGCACAGACAGCATCCTGATGCCCATATGCCAATGTCATCATCCACTGACAGAACTTCACCGACGCATTCACAAGAGTCATCTGTGGAACAAAACTCGTCTGCACACAACACCCGAAGGTATGTCGTTTCTTATTGCCCGCAAAATGAATCCCCTCCCCCCCCGCCCCCCCTCTTCTCCCACCCACGCCCTCTGCCCACAGCAGGCAACATGCACACACACGCACACACACAACCACCCACCCACACCCACACCCACACACACACACACCATGACTCCTTTTCTACCAGGAAGCCAGAGACAGGAGACAGATGCCTGTCCTCCGTTTAACCTGAAAATATCTGCAAATCTGCAACAGTAGGAAGTGCGAGGTGGTCCTTGGTTTCATACCAAAACGCAGGGTTTTTTTCTGGGGGGGAGAGGGGGGGAGAGGTCTCTTATACACATCTAGATGTGTATAAGAGACAGGTCGTTAAGAAAAAACAACTCTTCGGTAGATTTTTGAAGGCGCCTTGTGGAGACGACGTTTGACAAAAAAAAACATAAGTTTAGATCAATCTTTATCTGCTGAAATACAGGATGCTTCGAAAAAACAA